CTATCTATCTATCTATCTATCTATCTATCTATCTATCTATCTATCTATCTATCTATCTATCATCTATCTATCTATCTATTTATCTATCTATCTATCATCTATACAGTGTTCTGTCTGCATGTATCCCTGCAGGCCAGCAGAGGGCACCAGATCTCATTATAGATGGCTATGAGCCACCATGTGGTTGCTGGGAATTGAACTCAGGACCTCTGGAAGAGCAGTCAGTGCTCTTAACTCTGAGCCATCTCTCCAGTTCTACCAGAGTTCTTAAACACTACTGAAAGACCCCCCCAGAAGCTGGTACAAGTATACTTCCCCCAAAGAATATCACAACAGAATAGTATCTTGTAAGATCTTGTGCATTAGCAGAAGTTATTACATTTTTTTGTCTTTGTTTTTTTAAGATGGGGTTTCTCTGTGTAGCCTTGGCTGTTCTGGAGAACTTGCTCTGTAGACCAGGCTGGCCTTGAAGTCACAGAGATCCACCTGCCTCTGCCTCCCAAGGGCTGAGATTAAAGTTGTGTGCCATCCCTGCCCAGCTTACATTTATGTTTTAATTACATTTCTTTTTTTTAAAGTGTCAATGTGTGTATGCTCACACATGCAAATGCCTGTGCACACACATGTGTATACCACAACATGTGGGTGTGACAACTTTGCATGTTAGTCCTTGCCTTCCCCCTTATTTGAGGCAGGGTCGCTTCTTCTTCACCGCTGCATAGGCCAGGCTAGCTGGGCTGCAAGCGTCTGGGAATTGAGTCTCCCAGGCATGCAGGGGTTAAAGAAATCTGTCCCGCCTTCAGTGTTACATGGGCTTTTGGAGCCAAACTCTGGTTACCATGTTTGCATGTTAAGCTTTCTCCACTGAGCTGTCTTCTAAGCCCCTAATGACACTTGTCCATCGGTGATTTAAATCCCCCTCCTCAGGTTTAGCTGGGGTGCCTTTTTGCTCCATGAGTTGCTGGTTCTGTCGGTTGCCCGTGTCTACACAGCAGATTGATCTTTATTACTGGCGGGCCTAAGTTCTCTTCGGATGGAGCTGTGCGGCTCGATCCGCCTCTGCCTCGAGTGTGTTTCTTCTCTGTCGTTTCCTTTGCACGTTGGCCGGCCACGTGAAAAAAAAAAAATCCACCCAAGTGTTTTGTCTTGTTAGAAGTAGTTTCTGGGGCCGGAGAGATGGATCGACTGTTAAGAGCTCTGGTTGTTCTTGCTGAGCACCTGGCTTAGGTTCCCAGCCCCCGCATGGCAGCTCACAACCATGAGAACTACAGGGGACCCGCTGCCTTCTTCTGACCTCCACAAACACCAGGCAGCCAAGTGGTGCACAGATGCACAGGCAGAGTGCTCACACGCATAAAATCAAATCAATACACCCAAATTCTTTCTATAACTACGTCTGTAGGATGGGGAAACTGATCAGCCGGTAAAGCTCCTTCTGAGAAAGCGTGAGGGCCAGGAGTTTGATCCCCAGAGCCTAGCGGAAAAAGCCAGGCACAGTGGGGTTTGCCTACAATCCCAGCGCGAGGGAGGCAGAAACAGGCAGATCCCTGGAGATCAATGACCAGCCAGCCAGCCTTGTTCAGTTGGTGAGCTCCAGGCCATGTGTGAGACGCTGTTCAAAAAAATTGTGTGGAAAGTGATAGAGAAGGATGCTTGAGTTGACTTCTGGCCTCCACACACAGGTATGTACATGTGCCAAAGGACCGGAGTACATATGTACCCCCCTCCTGCACACATACACTTATATATACACGTGTGTGTCTGCCATCCCCTCCCAGGGGGCACCATCAGCTGTTCCGCACTCTCTTGTTCACATGGATTTGGAGATGTGGCTGTGTAACTTGTACGAGCAGATGATATCAAATAAGTACAATTGCCACAATGTACCCTTTTCTTTTTAAAAATGGTTTTGTCTGGGGCTGGAGCAATGGCTCAGCCGTTAAGAGCACTTGCTGCTCTTGCAGAGGACTGAGTTCTACTTGCCGCACCCACATCACGTAGCTCATAATGGCCTGCCTGCAACTCCAGCTCCGGGAATCTGATGCCTTCTTTTGGCCTTTGTGGGCACTGCATGCAGGTGGCGCGCGCACACGCGCACATACACACACACACACACACACACACACACACACACAAATGAATAAATAATACAGATGAAAATAGTACGTTAAAAGTATTTTATCTTTGTATTTCAGCTTTGCACTCACTGGTTCTTTCATTCCATGTAGTCTGCAACTAAGCCAAGCCCATGAGCTGCCAGCTGGGTCTCCAGGGGCCATCTCTTGCATCACAGCCCTCCTGGATTTGGGTCATGGTGGCAGGCTAGATCTCCAGAGTCCTTTTTGTTCCCAGCTCCACCAACAGCTTCTGCATGTGGAGGGGTGTCCACTGATTCCACCGCTGCCTTAGGGTTTCTATTGCTGTGAAGAGACACCATGACCACGGCAACTTTTATAAAGGAAAACATTTAATTGTGGTGGCTCGCTTACAGTTCAGAATTTTAGTCCATTATCATCATGGCGGGAAGCAAGGCAGCGGGAAGCAAGGTAGCATGCAGGCAGACGTGCTTGCTGGAGAAAGCAGCTGGTAGTCCTACATCTTGACTTGCAGGCAACAGGAAGTTGTCTGAGACACTGGGTGTGGCTTGAGCATATATTAGACCTCAAAGCCCACCTCCACAGTGACACACTTCCTCCAACAAGGCCACACCCACTCCAACAGAGCAATACCTCCTCATAGTGCCATTCCCTATGGGGGCCATTTCCTTTCTAATGACCTCGATTGCCTTGCCTTGAACCTGCAGCAGGCCTGATAGACCACGGGCAGAGACTCCATGTGCTCCATAGGGATTTGCCTTGCCTCTTCACCTTGTAGCCAGCCTTTGGAGAATAGCTGCCTTGTCTGTCGGAGACCTAGGGTGCTATCATATAGCTCTCTGCCACCTGCCTGGCTGCTCCTCACATGTAGTTGACCAAGGCCCTGGGGTCATCATTGTCTGTCTACCATTACATGTGGCTACTGAATATGGGGTTGTTGTCTTCTCATCCTGTCTGGGCTGTGTCTGTTCCCTCATCTCTGCAGAAAAGGCACCGTCTGTCTGGACTGTTGAAGACCAGCTTGTCCTTTGTGATATTTGGTTTCTGTTGTAGCTTCGGGTCTTGGCTTGGTTTGAAACTGTACATATTTTTAACCCATCTTGCTTGCCGGCATGGTAGGGCTAGAGTGGCAGTCTACTGCAATTCTCTAGTTCCTAAACCGACAATGGGAATCTGGTCCAGCTGCCTTCCAGGAAGACGGCGTTGGTTGGCTCTCCCGGCAGCAGTGGAGGAGGTTTGGGTCTGGCTTTCATTTCTAGTCTGAGGGCCTGCATCGGGCATGTGCCTGAGGTGCTACATCGGGCTTGTAAAACCATAAAGCTGCTCTCAACTACTTCTGCAGAGTTAATACTGTCTGCTGCCTTCAAATCACAGTTCTGAGTGCCAAGTCAGGGCTTCTTGGAAAGCAATTAAAAAATACACAAAAAGTCTGAGAAGAGATCTCAGGGTAGAAGCGTGCATTGTGAAGAGGGTCCCCCGTGACACCCAGCGGGCCAAGGAATCGCTGTGCACTCTAGCTGATTCTCACCACACAGCTCCTCTGTGGGAACCAGCCGCTGCTGGGAGTCTCAGCGGCTGGGAGAGGAGATGGGAGAGTGGAGGGGCTGCCGCCTTGCTGAGCATCCTCAGGGGTCTGATGGCAGGTTCTGGAGCCTTCCTCTGCCTTCAGGCTCTGCTGTGTTCGGTCTTCTCCCCGCTGTCCCATCCCCAGATCTATGTCATGGAATGTCATGTGCAAGCAGCCTGTAACCAGTTCTGTGCGGATTTCCCCACTAGGGAAATTTTAGGCTCCAGGGTACGTATCCGCTGCTTGGCTGGCTTTCTGTTTGCTCCTCGGTTGCCGACACCTTACACAAACTCCACAAGGTCCTTTGCCCTGGTCCTCGGCCACTGGCACCATCATTGGTCTAGGTCCTCACAATGAGCATGGATCCAGGGTCCTAATCTGCTTCTTCAGACTCTGCCTGTCCCCACACCACACAGTCTACAAGACCTAGTCAGTGCAAGAACCAGCAGACCACGTCTCCATTTGCCAGTCTGTGATCCACATCCAGGGTGGCACCAGGGTCAAGCCACACCCATTTCCTTATGGGCTTGATGCAGGACATCTCTGATCTTCTTCCCTTGTTTCTTGTCCCTGAAGTCCATTCTCTGTAGTGGCTGGAATGATGTATCATTGTTGCTCCCCTGATGATCCCTGGGCCTTCCTCTCAAATTTTAGGAAAACCCTGGGCCAGACAGTGGTGGCACACACCTTTAATCCCAGCACTTTGGAGACAGAGACAGGTGGATCTCTGAGTATGAGGCCAGCCTGGTCTGCAGAGTGAGTTCAAGGACAGCCAGGGTGGTTGCACAGAGAAACCCTGTCTCAAAAACAAAACAAAACAAAACCCCAATCCTTTGTTCAGGTGCTTGAAGCCAACACGCAGGTGTCCCACCTTCTCAACCCTGGCTCTTCCTGCACAGCTACCCTGGTCTCTGTTCCCTTAGGCAGACTCAGGTCGCTCCTACAGAGAGCTCTTACAGAGCTGCTGTGGTCCATGTCCAATGTGGTCACCTCTGCTTGCTCGCCGCCTGGCCCGTTTCTGACGTCCTGATCTTGGCTCCCAAGCTCCCTGGGGAGGGATCCTGGACCACCTGGCTAGAGCAGGCCATGGTGCCACCTTCCTACACCCTGCTGGTCTCCTGCCACCCTTGCTGCGTTCACTACCATCTGTCATCACCCCGTGGCATACTGGCTGCCTGCCCCTTGTCTGTCTTGTCCCCTCCAGATGGTAGCCGGGTCTGTCTGCCCGCGGCAGTGTGCTTGGCACCAGCAACAGGGGCTGGCAATGATGGGTGCCTGGTCAGTAGCTCTGGAATAGCGAACCCCACTTTCTACAAAATTGGGATTTCCCAGATGAGCCTCCTTACCTCCTCCTCCCCCAGTGCTCCCCTGTCACGGGCTCCTGGCTCCCACATGGCATGCCCTACCCCAACCTCTTTGATCTCCATATTATATATTCGGCCTTCTAGAGGGCATGCATACTTAGACACCCCACACTGGGCTCAGGAATTCTCTCTCTAGCCTTGTCCTCCTCTGCCCCAGGTGTAGATTGTAGGGGGATAAAGCCCTTCCCCCCCCACACACACAGTGGCTTTAAAGAATAGCAGTCGTTTATCCCCCATGATGCCGCTGGTCTCAGGCACAGGTGTGGCTGATGCCATACACAACCGGGGGCTAGGGTCGGGAGAGAAAACTCTTTTCCATTCTTGTTGGGAGAAGCGACAGCGTGGCTGTGGTGGTTAGTTTGTTAACCTGACACAATCTGGCCTCACCTGGCTGGGGGTAGGGGCTTCATGAGGAGTTGTCTGGATTGGGTTGGCCTGTGGACATGCCTGTGAGGGATTTTCTTAATTGGGTTGCATGAGGCGAAGACCCATGCTGGACGTGGGCAGTGCCATGTGGGCCAGGCCCTGGGCTGCATGAAAAGGAGAAGGAGCTGATCACAAGCATAAGGATCAGTCAATTGCTGCCTGTTCTCGCCGTGGACGGGATGTGATCGTGGCTTCGAGTTCCTGCTTCCCCAGGTGATGATAGACTGTAGCCTGGAAGGGTGGGACAAATAAGCCCTCTCTCCCTTAAGTAGCTTTGTCAGGGTATTTTATCACAGCCACAGGAGAAGAAATCAGGACTGACGGTGGGAGCAGAGACTTCAGGGGGAGGGCTCACTGTGCCAGTGTTCATACCTGGCCCTGATGGTGCCCTGGGGTTCTTTGAATAATTGCATTTCTCTCCACAATTGTTTCTGTCTGCAATAGAAGTCAGGGAGGCCTGAAGCCTGTCACCTCTCATGGGTGACCTGTGGACCTCTGAGGCCTGAAACATCAGTGGGGACTCCCCTTCCCCCTAGCACGCTGAAGCCCCTGACACTTACCCAGAGCATGGTGAACATTTTCATGCCAGCTTTCCACACCCAGGCTGTTCATGTCTCCAGCCTTCAAAAGGAAAAGGATCCCAGATAATCAAAGATTTCCCCCAAAACTGTCAAGGTCATACAAGATAGGCTGCTGTAAAGGTTGATTTACCTTGTCAGTGGATAAGGTGCTTGCTAGGTTAACCTGAGAACTTGAGTTCAGATCCCCAGCATCTATCAAGAGTGGTGGTATAATCCTGGTGTTAGGGAGGATCCCTGGGTTTTGCTGACCCATTAGCTCTAGGATTTTTTGCTTGTTTGTTTGTTTGTTTTTTAATAAATACTTTATTATATTCTGTCTCTCTGTCTCTGTCTCTCTGTCTCTGTCTCTGTCTCTCTCTCATTTCTTGAGACAGGGTTTCTCTGTGTAGCCCTGACTGTCCTGGAATTTGCTCTGTAGACCAGTCTGGCCTTGAATAGAGATATACCTACCACTGCCTCCTGTGCGCTGGGATTCAAGGAATGCACCACCACTGCCCAGTAGCTCTGGGTTTAGTGAGAGGCCTTGTCTCAAAAAAATAAAATGGAGCAGAGATGGAAGAAGACATCCAGTGTTGACTTCTGGCCTCCACATTTGCACGTTCCCATCCATGTGCACTCACATGGACACACGTGTCCTCACACACACAGTAAAGATTCATTGAGGACTGTCGAGGTGGTTCAGCAGGTAAAGGCACTTTGCTGTCAAGCTTGATGACTCGAGTTTGGTACCCAAGATCCACATGATGGGAAGAGAGAACCCACTCCCCCACTGTCCCCTGACCTCCACATGCATGCCATGGCATTCCAGCAACCACATACATAGGTACACATGTGTACACACACACACACACACACACACACACACACACACACTGTAAAAAAAAGTTTGACTTATGAAATACATTTCTTCCACTCCTCAAGGTTTCTTCTCATATCCCATGTCCATGTAGGGAAGGCCACCCACCTTCACCTCTTTCCCTTATGGGTGTGATCCTGTGCTAACCAACTTCCAGAGGGGAAGACTAGGTTTTCCTTGGTGAGGCATCAAATGAGTAGATAACTGAGAATGAGAGAGGAAGCTGGACTCTGCAGGCTAGGTTGCGTCTCGGTCTAAGCACGCTCACTAGCTATCTCTGTCTCATCCACAGCCACAGCTATTGCCAACCCAATACTGTCCTCGTTAGATGTTGAACGGATTCTGTCTCAAAGGATTTCCTGCAAAAGGGATGAAATAAAAAAAGTCTTCCAGGTACTCGACCCGACCCACAGCCAGGCGGTGACGAAGGGGGACCTGAAGCGCGTCATCACGGCCTTCCTCCTGCCGCTCACGAGAGAGCAGTTCCAGGACTTGCTGGCTCAGGTAAGGCAAGTGGCACTCAGTACGGGCTTTTCTGGAAAAGCCAGGGGGGCTGGCAGAGGAGCATGTGGCCTGTTCTGTCTTCTCATTGACCTCCGTGAGCAACTGGAGTTGTGATCACTGTTCATCATTCACTCGAGTTCCGGCCAATTAGGATGACATGATCAGTGTTCACTTGCTCATATTTTGTACACAACGTTGTGTGCCTGTCATTTTCTTCCTTAAAAAAAAAAAAACCTTCTATATAGAAGTATTAGGTCAATTTATATATATGTAAAGATTTGTTTGCTAACTTATAATTTTTTGAGATACGGTCTCACTTTGTAGCTCTGGCTGTTCTAGAACTCACTATGTGGATCAGACTGGCCTTGAACTCACAGAGATCCACCTGCTCTGCCTCCCAAGTGCTGGGATTAATGGCATGCATCCTGGGTTCAACTCCTGGGTGGGGATGTTGTGAACTTCTGGGTGGGGCAGGTTTTGTGGTGGATATGGTGGCTGCTGTGTAAGCTTGAGGATCCGAGTCTGGGTCCCCAGAACCACATATCAACTGGCACAGTAGTATACATCTGTCACCAGTGCTGGGGATGAGGGGAGGGGTGGGGACAGGCAGGTGTATAGCTAGCCAATGATAGAGGAGGGAAACCACGTTGACTTCTGGCTTCTGTATGTGTGCACAGGCCCTGGGATGATGCTAGGGCCTGGGGAAGGATGTGGATGGTAAGGGTCCTTGGGCCAATCACTGGTCTACCACAACCAGGGTAGTGGAAAGAGAAAAGATTTCTGGTGCAAGCCCTCAGAGCCCTTAAGGAAAGCCCTCAGAGCCCTTAAGGAAAGGAACATAAATTCAGTAGGGATTCAAGTTAATAAGTCTGTGTGCATCATAGCACCTACAAGAATGGTGAATTCGGCTGGGGCGTTAGGAGCGTTCTTTCCAGCATGAGACTCGAACTTGTGCACACATGTGTACACGTACATGTGATCACACTTTACTTCTTCATCCATTCTTAATCATAGTCTGGCTTCATGCTATGGTAGTGCTTTTAAAAGCCTATTTCATGTTAGAATTTGATGTATACACCACCCAGGCTAATATGCACGTAACTGACACAGGAGAATAAAGTGTTATGAACACAGTGGTTCAGCGGACTGTGGATATCGCCACGTTCTCCTTTTAATTCCAGGAGTTCATCACATTTCTTCCACTGACTCTTAAAAATATGTAATTTAAATAGGGTGTAGTGGAACTGTGACCCCAACACTGGGAGGCTAAGGCAGGAGGACCTCAAATTCCAGGCTAGCATGGGCTACATCACACGTTGGAAGCCAACCTGGACTCTCTAGTGCAGCCCTGGCCTAAGACAACACCTGTATTCTGGATTTTGTTTCTTCTTGTACACATGTATCACATTGCTCTCCAAGGTTTCGCCTCTGTTCAGTTTTGTTTGTCAGGAAGTTATCAACCATTTTCAGTCAAATATATTTTTAGCCCCATCCTCTCCCTTTTAGGGCATTTGGTATTGTCCCCGTGGGCTCCCACATTTCTCTGTTTAAAGAACATCATAGTCTCTGTATTTTTCAGACTGGATATCAGGAATCTATCTATTCACAATCCTATTGCATTTCCCTACCCTCCCATGTTGCTATTGGTCCATCATCCCCTAAGCCTGCAACTTTAGACATTGTTTATTAACATCTAGAATTTCATTTGGTTCCCCTCTCTGCTTGTTTAGATTTCATTCTTCTGTTTGTCTCTCTCTTACTTCCCTAAACACAGTTGAAAGAGCTGCTCTCAGGCCCTTGCTTAGTACATCTAACACACTGCTCATCCTTGAGTTAGCTCCCACCAATGGTCTTATCTTTTGAGACGGGTCAGCTTTCATGGTTGTTCATTTGAGTATGTTTGGATAATGACACAGACCAGATTGGTCCAGTGAAATAATGTGTGAGCCATACAGGCAAATTTTTTAGCAGTCACCTTAAAAGGTGAATAACAGATTAAATGAACTCAATTTCTTATTTATTTGTTTGTTTATGTGTTCATGAGTGCATGCAAGAGTGTGTGTGTGTGTGTGTGTGTACATGACATGGTGTACATGTAGAGGTCAGAAGACAAGTGTGGGAATCAGTTATTTTCTACCACATGGATCTGAGGAATTGAACTCAGGTTATCAGTCTTGGAAGCAAGTCCCCCAACTCCTGAGCCATCTAGCTGGCCCAGGAATTAATTTGAATAATGTTTTATTCAATCATGAATGTTCAAATACTGTGGCATTTAATGTTATCACTGTTGAAATTGTTGGTGTTTTACCTTCTTTTCCTATCTGAAGTCTTTAACATGGTAAGTACACACTCACACAGACAGCTTCAGTGTCTCTATTGGAAATACTTGATCTGACTGTAACCCTGTGAAACGTCTGCATGAAACATAACATTCACATCCCCAGCTTTTCAAAACCACACTTAGACATTTCTCAATAATGGAATCAATATAATTTTTAAATTTTAGGCTAATTAGCACTAAATAAAGTAGAAAACAGTTAATCACTTGTATTGGCCACACTTCCAGAGCCTAGCAGCCACGTGTGTACCAGGCTTTTTCTTTTGGGCCACCAACCAGCAACCAAATCATGACACGGAGATTTATTATTAGTTTTAAATGCTCGGCCTAGCTTAGGCTTGTTTCTGGCTAGCTCTCTTAAATTAACCTGTTTCTCTTTATCTGCCTTTTGCCTTGGGGCTTTTTCCTTTCCTTTCTTTCTGTATATCTTATTCTCACTGCTTCTGTGTCTGGCTGGTGGCTGCCTGGCTTCTTACCCCATTCATTCTCTCCTCCTCCTTCTCTCGTTCTTCCTGAGCCTAGAGTTCTCCTCCTACTTAGTCTCTGCCTGCTAGCCCCGCCTATACTCTCTCTACCCAGCTATTGGCTAATCAGCTCTTTATTAGACCAATCAGGTGCCTTAGGCAGGCAAGGTGAAACAAATGCAACACATCTTTACATAGTTAAACACACATCCTTATGTTGTTAAACAAAGGCAGCAGAAACAAATATAACACATCTTTGCCTGGTGAACACATCTTGCCTGCCAAATATTCCACAACACCTCCCACCGTGGTTGCGAATGCTGTGGAGCCTCTGGCTTCTGTCTGTCCCTCTGAAGATGCTTAGTTTTGATGGGCCGCTAACTATGAACTCCGTCTTACCTGCAGAGGGCAGAGCTCATATCTTAATGTAAATCTTTTATGTTTAGCTGTGCTGCTTTGACTCTTGTATACACGTGGTTCTCTGAAGTCAGCTAGATACTTGGGTAGAGCTTATGGCCCCAGAAAGTGGGTGTCTCCCCACACCTCCTCCAGGTGCTGTGATTGTTCTTGCTTCTGCATACTAGTCCCATAGGCCAGAAAGACAGAGTTCTCTCTCTCTTTTAAAAATATACTATTCTATTAATATTTGAATTTGTATATAATATGTATGATGTGTTTTGAGAATACCCATCCCTACTCCTCTCCTAACTCCTCCAGACCCACCAACCCCCTCCCATCTTTGTGTCCTCTTGTCTTCTTTGAATAGCCCACTAAGTCCAGTCTATGCTGTCCATGTACTCCTGGTGTGGGTCATCCACGGCAGTATGGTTGACCTACTGGAAGCCACATCCTTAAAGAAAACTGTCTCTCCTGCCCCCAGATGCCACAAACTGCTCCTAGCTCCTCAGCTGGGGGTGGGGCTTATGAAGCCCATCCTCATAAGCCTGCTGAAATGCTGACAGGCTAGATCTTGTGTAGGTATTGTACAGTCTATCACAGCTGTTGTGAGCTCATGAGTGCGGTGGTCCTGTCCTGTTCAGAAGACACTGTTCTGCTCTAGTCCTCCCCAGCCTCTGGCTCTTAAGAACTTTCCATCTGTCCTGCTTCCACAATGGTCTTTGAGCTGTGTGTGTGTGTGTGTGTGTGTGTGTGTGTGTGTGTGTGTGCATGTAAGTGCCTATTGTGTATATATGTATATGTGCTTATGTGCATGTGTGCATATGTTTGTGTGTGCATATATGTATATGATGTGTGGGTGCATGTTTGTGTGTATATATGTGCGTGCATGCATACGTGCATGTGTGTGCATGTGCGTGTGCGTGTGTGTGTGTGTGTGTGTGTGTGTGTGTGTGTGTGTGTGTGTGTGTGGTATAGTTCATCCCTTAATGGATGAACACTCCAATGACACTTACTGTCTCCCCTTTGACCACTGGTGACTTTCTGCCTCATCCACCATCCACTGCACAGGGAAACCTCTCTGATGAGGTCTGGGACTTCACTAATTTGTGGGTACAGATGTGCAAATTTCGAGGGCAGTTTGATGCTATGCCCGTGTGGTGGAGTAAGTCTGGGGGTTTCATTGGGTTCTAGGCACTGTGTGCTGAGCAGTGACTGTGGGCCTGGCCTGAAGCTAAACTGAGAACTGGAAACTCTCCCATTCCCTGCCTCTTCTAGGTTTCAACTCCCTCCTGCTTCCTCCTGCTCCCTAGAACGCTCAGTCTGTCACTGTCACAGCCTTGTAATTCTAAAACAAAGTCATAGGCAAGTTGGGTGTAGAACTCAGAGAACACCTTTTCCCTAAGTCATTTGAGAAAAAGCTCTTTGTTACTTGCAGGTGCTGTGGTGTGGATTTCCTTCAAACCACAACCCAGCTATTCAAATAGAGACTCCCTTTGCCTCATGACTCCCTGCCCAGCCTCAGAGTCCCATGCCTTTGCCCCACACCCACCTTGTAGGTCTAGATTACAGTCAGGCCTTGCCCTTGCTTTGGGTGACCATTTGGTCCCTGTTGGTCTGGGCCGGTTCCCCCATCTTTCCCTGGCTCTGCATTCTGCTACTGCAGAATGTGGGTTTGCCTGGGGTTTCCTGGGAGCAGGTGCTGGCAGCATCTCTGGTCGGTGTGTCCCGGCAGTGACCTTGAGCTCTTCTTAGGGTGCACTGGATTCCAGTGTGTCCCGGAGCTGTTGACGCTTGCCTAG